TGTTACTACAAAACAGTCAAAAAGTTAAAAATATTTAAAAGTTTAGAAGCTAAAAAAATTAGGCTAAGGTTAATTTATTATTGAAGAAAAAAACTTTTTTACATGTTATTTTTTCTTTTCTTTCCTTTTTTTTTTTTTTTTTTTGAGACAGGCTCTTCATCTAAAGACAGGCTAGTGTGCAGTGGTATAATGGTAGCTCACTGCAGCCTCAAACTCCTGGGCTCAAGTGATTCTCCTGCCTTAGCCTCCTGAGTAACTGAGACTATATTATGTGCCATCACACCCAGCTAATTTTTACCATTTTTGTACAGAAGGGGTCTCACTATATTGCCCAGTTTGTCTCAAACTTCTGTCGTCAAGCAGTCCTCCCACCATGGCCCCTCAAAGTGTTGGGGTTACAAGTATGAGGCACTGTGCCTAGCCAAATAAAAACATTTAAAAAATAAATTTAGCATATGTATGGCTGGGCATAGTGGTTCACAACTGTAATTCCAGCACTATGGGAGGCCAAGGCAAACAGATCACTTGAGGACAGGAGTCTGAGACCAGCCTGGCCAACATACCAAGACCCAGTCTCTATTATAAATATAAAATATTAGCTGGGTATGGCGGTACACACCTGTAATCTCAGGTCCTAGGGAGACTGAGGCATGAGAATCACTTGAACCCAGGAGGCAGAGGTTGCAGTGAGCTGAGATGGCACCATTGTACTCTAGCCTTAGCAACAGAGCAAGACTCTGTCTCAAGAAAAAAAAAGTACAGTGTGTATACAGTCTACAGTGGCATGCAGTAATATACTAGGTCTGCACATTCACTCACAACTCCCTCACTGACTCACCCAGAGCAACTTCCAGTCCTGCAAGCTCCATTCATGGTAAGTGCCCTATACAGGTGTACCATTTAAAAATACTTTTATACCCTACTTTTACTGTAGCTTTTCTATGTTTAGTTATGTTTAGATACACAGATATATACCACTGTGTTATGATTGCCTACAGTATTCAGTAGTGTAACATGCTGTACAGGTTTGTAACTTAGGAGCAATGGGTTATACCATATAGCCTAAGTGTATGGTAGGCTTTACCATCTAAGTTGTGTAAGTACACTGCATGATGCTTGCACGACGCAGTCACCTAATGATGCATTTCTCAGAACACATCCCTTTCATTAAGCAGTGTGTGACTGTACTTATACTCACGTTTTATTGACCAAAGAAAGTCATATGGCTATGCACAAATCCAAGCTATTGTAAGGAAGTACAATGCTATCATGTGCCTATAGAGGTGTTATGGAGAGCATCCCAGTTTTTGTCCGCTTTTTTGTTGAGAAAAAAACATCTTTCAGGCTGGGCATGGTGGCTCACCTATGTAATCCCAGCACTTTGGGAGGCCAAGGCGGGTGGATTGCCTGAGGTCAGGAGTTTGAGACCAGCCTGGCCAACATGGCGAAACCCTGTCTCTACTAAAAATACAAAAGTTAGCCAGACTTGGTGGTGTATACCTTTAATCCCTGCTACTTGAGATGTTGAGGCAGGAGAATTGCTTGAACCTGAAATGCGGAGGTTGCAGTGAGCCAAGATTGCACCATTGCACTCTAGCCTGGGTGTCAGAGCAAGACAAGGTCTCAAAACAAACAAAAAAACCAACTTTGTTTTGATTGCCACTTGAAAAAGGCCTCTGTACTATGCAGAAATCAAGAACTCAATAACCGTTTCCTCTGTCACTACCAAATGCTTCCCAGGGGTTTTGCCACTATGTGGAACCAGCAGTTTTGTGGGGGACTTCTTTCAAGGTATCTCCTCAGCTAGCAATAATTTCCCCTTTCCTGGTAATTGACCATTCCTTGATCCATGGAGGTGGATTCCTGGTGAAATTCATGCCTGTAAGCTGGCCATGACTGTTCTGGAGGAAGAGAACAGTCCTCCACAAGTTGGGTCAGTTAGAAGCTTTTCTACATGATTTTGTAATTGGAATGATTAGGGAGTTTTAGTGTCTGGGTAGTTGGAATTGTATCATATACTTAGGGGAGATTAGTAGACACATTTCCCATTGTATTATTAATACCTGGAGGCAGAGAAAACAAGTTTTTTGGAATCATACTGGCTCTACTTGCTCTGCTTCCAGCCCATCCAAAAGCCCAGCTGGTTTCTTTCCCTTGGCCTCTGAGAGATCCACCCCATCCAAAGCCTAAAGATAAAGTCCCCTTTTATTTTCCTTAAATTGGTCTAATGGGTTTCTGGTGCTTGCAGCCAGTAACCTTTTATCTGATAATTCTTTGCCTTTGGACCCTGGCACAAAAAGTTGACAGATGTAGCCCATTCTAGCAAAATAGAGGTCAGGTTGTAACTATATTGCATTAACTAGACTCCTAGCAGTTTCCTTCCTTCTTGAGAAAGCTCATCAGAATGTAAGTACTAGTGACATTATTATAGGGATCACCTGAAATCTGCTTTTTTTTTTTTTTTTTTTTAAAGGAAAGTAATTTGCCTCAGTGGGTAAACCGTTTGTGACATAACTCTCAACACTGGTATTAAATGCATGCTGTTTCTTCTGCCTGGAATCTCTATCTCAACAACTCTTCAGATGCAGCCCCAAAGTCACTTCTTCTGGGAAGCCTTCCCACACACTCCTGTATACTGTTAATTATGCCATTCTCTGTGCTTCCCAAAGCAGTTGGCACATCCATCTTTGTTACGTATTTTCTTCCAGAATTATTATTATTATTTTTTTGAGATGGAGTTTTACAGTTTTACTCTTGTTGCCCAGACTGGAGTGCAATGGCACAATCTCAGCTCACTGCAACCTCTGCCTCCCAGGAATGCAATGGCACTTGACTCACTGCAACCTTTGCCTCCCAGGTTCAAGCAATTCTCCTGCCTCAGCCTCCCAAGTAGCTGGGACTATAGGTGCACACCACCATGCCCAGCTAATTTTTGTATTTTAGTAGAGATGGGGTTTCACTATGTTGGCCAGGATGGTCTTAATCTCCTGACCTCGTGATCCGCCCACCTCGGCTTCCCAAAGTGCTGGGATTACAGGTGTAATCCACTGCACCCGGCCTTCCAGGTTCAAGTGATTATTCTGCCTCAGCCTTCCAACTAGCTGGGATTACAGGTGTGCATCACTATACCTGGCTAATTTTTGTATTTTGAGTACAGATGGGGTTTCACCATGCTGGTCAGGCTTGTCTCGAACTCCTGACCTCAGGTGATCCACCTGCCTCAGCCTCCCAAAGTGCTGGGATTACAATTATGAGCCATTGATTCTTTAACAAGAAAGGAAACTTTAAAAAGGAAGTTTTCTACTTCCCACAGAAGCCTTTGAAATAAAAACATGTTGGAAATTAAAAAAGTAGGCGGGTATGGTGGCATGCACCTGTAGTCCTAGCTGCCCGGGAAGCTGAGGTGGGAGGATCGCTTGAGCCTGGGCGGTTGAAGCTGCAGTGAGCTGTGATGGTACCATTGCACTCTAGCCTGGGAGACGGAGTGAGACCTGCCCCACTCTCCCCCACCCCCTTCATATTTTTTTTTTTTTTTTTTTTTTTGGCTTTTACTCTGAGATGGGAAACCGCTGGGGGCTTTTGAGCTTAGGTTTCAACAGGATCCCTCTGGCTGCTGTGTTGAGAGAAGCTTCTATGAGAGCAGAGTGGAATCAGGGAGAACAGGTAGGAGGCTACTACAATATTCTAGGAAAGAGAAAAAGAGATATTTTAAAGGTAGAGCTGACAGGCTTTTCTAATGGATTGCATGTGGGATATGATAGGGAGAGAGGAGTCCAAGAGGACTCCAGTGGTTTGGCTGGAGTCACCAGATGGATGGAGTTGACATGAACTGAGGTAGGGAAGGTTGTGAAAGGAGCAAGCTAAGGCAGAAGTATGGGTGTTTGACTATGGACTTGTTAACTTGGACACGTCGCTCACACTTGTGTATATGCTCCCTGGTTTTTGGTATCGGAAGGTTCTAAAGTTACTTGAAGTTAAAGTCAGCCTTATTTATTGACACCAAGCACTCTGAAGAAACCTTCAAATGTGCTGTCATTTAACTCTTTTAATATTCCTATTGGTTTAGTCGTATTTCATTGCCCTTTTACAGATGAGAGATTAACATGTTCAAAGTCACTCAGACAATTATTAACCTGCCAGATTAATGCAGATCTGGGATTCCCACCAGGTGTGTCAGACTGTAGAGCTTCTGCTGTTTACTAACCACCGGATTCTAAAGGTTGGAGCCACTTTCTGAGCCTATTTGCTGCACACTTGGTTCTATAACTAAAAAGGTGCCTGGTACACGTGACAAGAATTCAGAAAAGTGTCCATCCCCATCCCATGCGTTACAGGTTACACAATAGCTATGAAGAAAGGACGGTATTAGTGGACCCGAGGAGGCGGACTGATGCTTGAAAGCTCAGGTACTTGAAGATTCAGTGTTAAAGCCGCCATCAAGAGTTAGGGGTTTTTTATTATTATTATTTTAAAGAAACCAGAAAACATTAAAAACTGCAGCGAAGCCTTGGGGGGAATAAAAGACCACTCCCAGGCGACGCTTGTTGGGAAACACTGGAATTGGAGGAGTAGGGGCAGACAGGAGCCAGAACTCCTGCAAGCCTACATACACATCCTTTTGAAAGTGTAACCTGGTGTGACCTTCCTTAAGTGGTCCTCTGGAAAGACCAGGATATGGAGTACAAAAGCCAGGAACCTGTGGGACCGCAGCATCCGCCCCCAGCCCCTCCTTCCCCGTTTTCTTCAGCCTCTGCAGGGTGAAGAGCTGGTAGGATGCCCGCGCATGCGCCCGGGGCAAGGTCCGCTCCCCGCGACGACAGGGGGCTCGCGCCAGCTTGAAAACCACGCCCCGCGGCTGCCAGAGGCGACCTGGGCGGGGGACCCCGGGCCACGCCCCCAGCCGAGCCGAGCAAGGCCGAGCAGAGCCGAGTAGAGCCGAGCAGAGCCGAGCACCTCCGAAAGCCGCCGAGCCGAGCCGAGCAGCCCGGAGTCGGTTGGTGCAGCTGCGTCCCCGCCGCTCAGCAGTCCGCGGCTCCGGCGTCGCCGCCGCCGCCGCCTCTGCGGGGCCTGCGCCGGCCGCCCGCTCGGCCGCCCGGCCGCGGGGAGGGAGGCCCGCAGCGCGGGAAGAGCGGCCCAGTCGCGGGCGCCGCCACCGCCGCCGCTGCCAGGTGAGCGCCCGCCACGGCCAGCCGGCCCCGCGTGCCCCCGCGGCTGTCAGTCCCCGATGTCTATCTGTCTCTCTGCCTGTCAGCCCCTGTGTCTCCGCGAGCTCCTTCCCGCCACGCCTGGCCCGCGGCCGGCCCGCAGTCTCCGTCAGCCCCCTCCTGCTGGCTGCCACTGGTCTTTCTGTCAGCCGCCAGCACCCCCATGCTGGTAGGCTCCGCCCCTTCCCCCCGGAGCCCCGCCTTCCGCCATCTGTCATCACCCCCCAGGCTCCAGGCGCGGGCGTCCAGGGGTCCTGGGGGTCAGGGTAGCCCCGCGTGCCACCTTCGCGAAAGGCGCAAAAAAGGGTGGTGGAGGGGAAGCGGGGGCGTTCGCGTAGGCCCGCCTGACCGTGTGAGAGTGCGTGCCCGAGTGGGCGCCCCCCGTGTGCGCCCGACAGCCGCCTGCGTCCACGCCCGCGGGCCCTTGCACGCTGCTGGGATGTGGCAGCCCATGCCCCCAGTGTAAAGAGTGTCAGCTCGACCAAGGAAGGCGGCAGAGCCGGGACTCCAACCAGTATGCGGGGTACAGTAGCATCCTGAATCTTGGGACCCTTGTTTGCCCATGCGAAAACACCACGCGTCGGCCCCAGGTCCCCGGATTCCCTGAGTGGCCTGTGAGTGGAGTTTGGGGCTTGTTAAGCCTTCCCAGTGTGGGACTGTCATTCAGGGAAGCATGTTGGAAGTGACTGAGGAGTGGATGGGATGTGGGACTTAGGTGGGAAGTGTTCGAGAGCTTGAGTCATTTTGAGTTGCATGGTTTGCATTTCTGAGCAGTGATTGCCCTGGGCTTGTGTCCTGCAAGAAATTTATGACTTGGGGTGGGGGTAGTGACGTGGGAAGGAATACTCCTTTCTGTTTTTATCTATGTGAACACATAGTATATATTTATCTAGATATACTAACTGTTGATTCATGAGGCATCCACACAGTCTCAATTTAAGGATTACAGTAGTTTCCATTTATACACGTTTTTGTGTGTTGTTATCTTGATGTTCTTTATTTGTGGTAACTTAGTATTGCAATATTTCAAAACTAAGAGAAAATGCGTCCTAAAACAATTGGTATTTTGCCGGATAATTCTGAACCACAGAGAAGGAGCCAAAAACGCACTTCATTAGCTGGAACAACTTATTCGAGCTTAATTTGTTTCTAAGAGACATACAGTGGAAAAATCCAGAAGCGCAAAATAGTATCAAAGAGACTTAGAAAATGAATGAAAAGGGCCCTTCTGTTGCTGCTTTGGAAAGACGGTATCAAAGTTGCTGTAGAGGACAGAGCCTCTGTGTAATGATCAACATATTAACCAAGTTGGTTTTGTGACCTTGATACATTGAGCGGGGCTTGATTTGTGCAGTGGTTCATGACAGGCAAACATTGCATGGGAAGTGTGGTAATTTTTGGAAAAAAATGTTCCCCATGTTGTTTTGGTTTTTGGTTTTGAGTTTTTTTGTTTTGTTTTGTTTTGTTTTGTTTTGTTTTTCACATTGAAGATTTCAGACCAGGGAAGTCTCATGGTGGAATGCTTTTTTCTTTTTAAAGATAACATTAAAAAATTACCAAAGTAATTCATGTTTAAGGCAGAAAACTTGAAAAACAAAGAAAAGCATTGCAAAAAAACCCATAATCCCACAAACCATAGTAAACCACAATTTGGTATTAAGTCTTTTAGCCTTGTTCCCACGTAGACTTTTTTTCTTACAAAAATGCTATCATACTATACAACTTTTATTCTGTGCTTTTTTTCCTTTCAATTATAACTAGATTGTGAGAGATATATCTTGGCTTTATGAGTAGGAACTTGTGTTTCTCTTTGCAATCCTTTCAAAAAAGTCAGATCACGTTAGTCCTGTGCTTAGAGCCCTCCAGTAGCTTCTCATCTTAAAGTAAAATCTGAAGGCCTTGCTGTCCCCTCCCAGGCTAACCCTCTTCCCTGACAACTGTCTTCACCTCGAGCCTTGCCAGACAGATCTCTGCTGTTCCTTAAAAACCTCAAGCTCATGCCTTTAATCCCAGCACTTTGGGAGGCCAAGGTGGGTGGATCATGAGGTCAAGAGTTCGAGACCAGCCTGGTCAGCATGGTGAAACCCCTTCTCTACTAGAAATACAAAAAAAAAAAAATTAGCCGGGCATGGTGGCATGTTCCTGTAATCCCAGCTACTCGGGAGGCTGAGGCAGGAAAATTGCTTGAACCTGGGAGGCGGAGGTTGCAGTGAACTGAGATTGCACCACTGCACTCCAGCTTGGGCGACAGAACGAGACTCTATCACAGAAAAAAGTCAAGCATACTCCAGCCTCGGTGCTTTTGCATTAGCTGTTCCCTCTGTCTGGAACTCTGGTCCCTGGATGTTAACATGGTTGACTCCTTTATTTCTTCAGGCCTCTCAAAAGTTAGGTTTTCTGGTTTTACTTGACCACACTATCAAGTACATCCAATTTCCCTGTTGTCCTTATCCTGCCATTCTTATTACCACTTGGTAATACATATTGATTTGTTGGTTTATTGTCTCTCTCCCTCATTAACCCAGAAGCTGAGACTTTTTTTTTCACTGATATATCCCCAGGGCTCAGAACTGCACCTGGCCCATTGCGGGTACTTAATATTTGTTGAATGAATGAAGGAAAGAATGAATGCTCATTATCCATCTATTCATGTGACCTTGCTGGTAGCCTTCTAGGCTTTTTAGGTAGCTACATTACGAGGTAAAATAACAGTTTCTTAAAAGTCAGGATATTCCTTTCTCTTCCACATCTGAGAAGAAGAATTTTACAAAGTGAGGCTATGATCTTAAAAAGAATTACAGTCTTGATTTAACTTGAACAATTGAGGGAAGGAACATTTTTGTCAAATGTTGCTGGCTTGCTTTCTTATGCATTATCCCTGTGTCACATTGGACATTTTTGAGAAGTATAAAGTTTCCCAGTTATGTTTACAGCTGTGATTTCAATTTTTGTAGTTCATAGTGATAGTATAAGCCTCAAGAGCATAGTAGGTTTTTTTGTATGTGTGTCAACAGATACCCAGATATATAATAGCTTTAATGTGTTTTCATTTGGGGAATAGCTGTTCATATTTACTTATTATCCTGGCAATTCTGTCCTTTTCATCTCCCTGCTTATCAGTTTTTGCATGGCCTAGCAGGTATACTTAAAGTTGTTGTTTTTTTTAAATTAACATTTTAAAATAAATCCTTGACCTTTTGAAATTTTACATCTCTCCTGTGACTCTTGAACGTTTGAAAGTACCAGTTTCATCTTTCAAGATGAAGTATCTGTAGTAAAATGTATAATTGCATTTTAATATATGAGGTTGGAAAACATATCTTGGGACAGAATTTTTACAAAGAAGTTGTAATGTGAGTGTAAGGTTTTCAAAGGTTTGAATTTCAGGTAGATTGCTTTTAATTTTTGTGAGTTTTTAGCAAAAAGAGTTGCTTTTTACTTTTAAGAAAAAGGAGCTCCTTGAACACAATCCAAACAGAGACCTTCAAAAACTTGTTTTTCTTATCCTCCAAAGATACAAGAACTTGGTGGTGATGGTGGGAAAGGGGGAATCCTAAATGAAAATTTTACTTTTTAAAGGCCTAAAAGGATGTGTTAAGAATTTATATTTGTTCCACAGGTATTTATTGAGCATGTATTTGAGCCAGTTCTATGTGTTTTTCTGTGGGCTATGTTACCATGTTCAGTTTTAAATTATCACCGTGATTTCTTATTATTTCTTTTCTTTTATGGCTCTGCTACCTGCCTTCTCTCATCACATTCTCTCTCTAAATGATCTCATCAGTTCCCAGGACCCTAGTACCCCCTGGATGCAGATGACTCTTTCTGTTATGTCTCCCTGCCCTTTCTCTGGTTCCAGGCTTGCATTTTCAGCTACCACTTTCCTGTTCCAGTGATCTCAAACTTCACATGTTCAGAACTGATCTCTCAGTATTCCTCTCAAGGTTCAAAATTGGCATTCCTCATTCCTGACCCTTCCTTACTCTCCCCTCCAGGCCTCTGTCTCAGTGTTAGTATTGTCTATTCATTATTCAGGCCAGACACCTGAAAGTTGTCTGTGATTCTTCTCATTTCCTCACCCCACATCCAACCCATCGGTGTGGTTTTTTTGGCCTAGCCTCTAGAATATCTCAAACCCTTCTTTTTCTCCATCTTCTTAATTACCCCGCTTCCAGATGGATGATTCTGCTGCCTCCTAGCTGGTCTCCCAGCTTCCATTGTTGCTTTCTTCTAGAACATTTTCCTCACAGCAGCCAGAATGATCCTACTAAAAAGTAAACCCAAGCATGCCACCCCACTGCTTGGTGACTTCCACTGCACTTGGACTCACATCCACACTTACCCTGACTCATGCCCTTTCCAGGCTCCCCTCCTTTCTTACAGTGGTTGTCAGGTTGAACACCTTCAGTTCCTCAGACATGCCATGTTCTTGTCTTTTGTACAGTCGCTTCCCTCCACTTGTCTCATA